GCACTCTCAGGTGTAGTCCATCTGATCCTGCTGACTTCCAGATATTTAGCCTCTCTAGGTGCTCCTCCACAAGATCTTCGCTAACTATGGGAGGGTGATCACCCCAGCTTGGATCATTCTGTATCCTGTCAAGCAGGTTAAACACCCTTGGACTGGTGAAATACCGACACAAAGTATTAGTTTAGGAGTTTGGTTTTATCCTGAGTATCAGTTATCAGCCATCCCATTTCATTCATCAGGGACCCTATGCTTCTCTTATTTTTTCTTTGACTTCCTACATATCTAAAGAGAGACTTTTTGTTGTCCTTAATTCCAGTTGCCAGTTTGTATTCAGTTTGTGCCTTTGCTGCCCTAATCCATTCCCAGCAGGTGCGGGCTATTGCTGAGTACTCCTCTATGGTGGTTATTTCTGACTTCCATCTCTTGTAAGCTACTCTTTTTAATTTCAGGTGGTCCATGACTTCCCTGTTGAGCCAAGGGGGTCTCCCAGCCCTTTTGCTGCCTTTCTTACAAAATGAAATGGACTTCCTTTGTGCTTCTAGGACTGCTTCCTTAAAGAACAATCACTCTTCTTGTACTCCCTTTCTCATCAAACCATGGTCCTGCAGGGTCACCAACCAATCTCCTAAGCTTGTGGAAGTCAGCTGTCCTAAAAATCAAGGATTTCTATCCAACTGTCTGACTTCTCTGACTTGCAGTGCATGGAGAAAGTGATCATCTCAAGGTCATTGTCGCCCAGTTTCCCTTTGATCTTCAGGTTGCTCACCAGATTATCCCTTTCGTCAGAACTAAGTCTAGAAGTGCCTTGCCCCTGGTTAGCCCATAGACTTCTTGAGTTTGATAGAGCTCTTCAGTGCAAGTGAGGAAGCTTTGTGAGTGATCAGATCTTGCTGAGTGCTCATCCCATGAGATGTCTGGGTAGTTGAAGTCACCCATAATGACTATGCTCTGAGAGCATGCAGCCTCTACCAGTTCTCCAGAGAATTACTGGTCGAGCTCTTCCTCTTGCTTTGGAGGTCTGTAGTAAACTCCTATGGTCAAATCCCCTTCCCCATGCTCTCCTCATATCGTGACCCAGAGGACCTCAAGTCTCCCTTTTTTGTTTCCAATCTTCACTTCTATGGAGGTGTAATGTTCCTTCATATAGAAAGCATCTCCTCCATCCTTCTCCTCAATACACACCCTGTATAGGAGGGATCATCCCCCTATACCTGTGGTCCAGTTGTAGGTGGAGTCCCACATGGTTTCCATATTCCCTAGGAGATCGTATTGCTTGTTGGTTGGCAGAAGGGCCAGTTCCTCCTGCTTATTTCCCATGCTTGTGGCGTTTGTGTACAGGCAACTAAGCCTGACATTGGAGGCCCTAGGTTTCCTAGTGAGCTGTGGAATAAGCTGTCTTTTGGTCAGTGTCCGAATATGCTTCTTGTTGGTATGGTGGTTTCAAGGTTGCCATTTCTTGGGCTTGTACTAATAGTTGCTGACCCGTCCCCCAGTGATCTCAGTCAGTTTTAGCAGACTCTACATGCTCAATGAATACTTATGTAGTTATACATGATTATCTATACATATAGGACTATTCATAAGGAGTAGATTTCCCCTGGGTGTTTAAGTGCCAGAAATATCCTGTAGATAACCAAAAAATGGTTACTTAGACTACCAAGAAAGGATAGAATGTCACCCTTTTTATTACAATCATAGAAAATATAGGGTTAGAAGAGACTTCAGGAGCTCTTCTAGTGCAATGCCCTGCTCAAAAGGAGGACCATTCCCAACTAGATCCCAGGGGTGGGTGAAGTGGGCCCTGTTCATTTTGGATTCAGTCCGAATCAGGGACAGTGATTGAATTCATTGATCTGGATCACGGTCTCCGATTTGATGCGACTGAATCTGAAGATTCAGTGTTTATTCAGAGAATCATCGATTCAGACATAGACACAACCTTAAAAGTTTTTTCTACATACCTTGAGGTAGCAGGCAAAGCTTGTGATCGCTGTGATGCTGGGGCACATAGAAAATCCCACAGGAATGCAGAGTGCCCTCCATGTGCTTGTCAGTGAACCTGAAAGTGGACCAGAAGTACTTCCAGTCCACTTCTGGGTCTGTTGGGGAGCATGCTGGGGGGCCCACCGCACCCCGCAGCTCAGTGATTAGCTGCAGGGGGACCTTGGGTGCCCCCCTGACCCAAGAGGCACCAGTCACCAAGCTGGGGGGGCATGAGGGGACTCCCCAGGGCACTCCCCGGCAGACCCAGAAGTGGACCGGAAGTGCTTCTGGTTGACTTCTGGGTCTGTTGTTGAGCATCCTGCCCGTGCTTCTGTGGGATGCTCCATGCACCCCAGCATCACAGTACTCATGAGCCCCTGCTACCTAGAGGTATGTGGAAAAGAACATTTACAGCTGTCTCTATGTCCAAATCTCTGAATCAATTTGGAGAGTTCAGATTCGATTCAGAGAAATTAAATGGGGCTCCGATTCAATTCAAAGATTTGGCCGCCAAATCGAATCAGGGACTGAAGTTTTGCACAGCTCTCCTAAATCATTCCAGCCATGACTTTGTCTAGCCAGGCCTTAAAAGGAGATTCCATCACCTCTCTAGGTAACCCATTCCAGTGTTTCACCACCCTCCTTGTGAGAGAGTTTTTCCTAATATTCAACCTAAAACTTTGCTTGCTGCAACTTAAGACCATTGCTCTTTGTTCTGTCATCTGCCACCACTGAGAAAAGTCTAGCTCCATCCTGTTTATAACCACCCTTCAGGTAATTAATGGCTGCTATCAAAACCCTACTCAGTTGCCTCTTCTGTAGACTAAATAAGCCCAGCTTTCTCAGCCTCTCCTCCTAAGTCATGTGCTGCAACCCACTAAGCATTTTTGTTGCCATCCATTGGACTCTCTCCAATATTTCTACATTTGTTTCTGGAGTGGGGAACCCAAAACTGGGCACAATACTCCACATGTGGCCTCACCAGAATACAGGGAAATAATTACTTCCCTTGATCTGCTGGCAACACTAATGCAGGCCTGTTTGCTTTTAGCCATTTTGGCAACAAGGACGTACTGTTGACTTAAATTAAACTTATTTTCCACTGCAATGCCCAGGTCCTTTCCTGAAGAGCTGCTACTTAGCCAGTTGGTCCCAAGCTTGTAATAGTGCATGAAATTCTTCCATCCTAAGTGCAGGACTTAGCACTTGTCCTTGTTGAACCTCATGAGAGTTCTTTTGACCCAATCGTCCAATTTGTCTAGGTCACTCCAAATCCTAGCCCTAACCTCCAGCCTATCTACTACACCCCCAGCATGATGTCATCTGTGAACTTGCTGAGGGTGCAATCCATCCCATCTTCCAGATTGGGAATGAAGATATTGAACAAAACCAGCACCAGGACCAACCCCTGCACCCCATTTGATACCAGCTGCCAAATAGACCTTAAGCCATTAATTACTACCTGTTGAGCCTGATGATACAGCCAGCTTTCTATTCATCCAACTGATACTCCCTCATCTTTCTTGCAAGAATGCTGTGCAAGACCATATCAAAAGCCTTGTTAAAGTCAATGTATATCATACCCACAGAGCCAGTCCTCTCATTATAGTAGGCAATCAGGTTGGTCAGGCATGACTTGCCCTTGTTGAATTCATGCTGACTGTTCCTGATCACTTTCTTCTCCTCCAAGTGCTTAGAAATGGATTCCTTGAGGACCTGCTCTGTGATTTTTCTAGGAACTGAAGCAAGGCTGACTGGTCTGTAATTCCCTGCATCCTCCTTCATCCCTTTTTTAAAGATTGGCACTATAATTGCCCTTTTCCAGTTGTCTAGGACCTCCCCCAGTAGTCACAAGTTTTCAAAGATAACAGGCAGCAGCTCTGCAATCACATCAACCACTGCCCTTAGCACCCTTAGATGCAATCCATCTAGCCCCATGAACTTGTACATGCCCAGCTTTTCTAAATAGTTCCTGACCTCTTCTTTCAGCACTGAGGGCTGTTCACTGCCCCAAACTGTGCTGCCAGGTGCAGTAGTCTGGTGAGTCTGCACCCTCAGTAAGGTTTCTTTAAAATACAGCCAGCTTTCCTGGACTCCTTTCCTCCTCAGCCTATCCTCCCAGGGGATCCTGCCCATCAGTTCCCTGAGGGTGTCAAGCCTGATTTTCTGAAGTCCAGGTCCATACTCTGCTGCTCTCCTTTCTTCCTTTTATCAAGATCATGAACTTGATCATCTCATGGTCACTGCTGGCCAAGTTGCCATCCACTTCTTCATCCCCCATCAGTTCTTCCCTGTTTTTAAGCAGCAAGTCAAGAAGAGCCTGGCCCCTAGTTGGTCTCTCCAAACAGTTGCACCAGGATGTTTTCCCCAGAGCTCTCCAAAAACATCCTGTATTTCCTGTGCACTGCTATATTGCCGTCCCAGCAGATGTCAGGATGATTGAAGTTCCCCCTGTGAACCAGGGCCTGTGATCAGGAAATGTCTACTAGTTGGCTCAAGAAAACTTCATCTACCTCACCCTCCTGGACTGGTGGAGTAACAGATACCCATCACGATACTACCCTTGTTGTTCTTCCCGCTAACCTTAACCCAGAGACTTTCAGCAGGCCTATCTCCAGTTTTATACTGGAACTCTGAGCTCTTTTACATTCAGCACAGTGTAATATTTTACATTACCCTGATCTTTTTCCCCCATGCCATAAAAATCTGTTGCAGAAAAGTTTGAATTTTGATTCTCTTTTGTAAATTGCCAAAGCTCCCTTGCAGAGAATTTGCCTTTATTTTTTTGGTAGGGGACCTGTTTGTTGAGCAGTTTGTTTCATTTTCCCCAACAATACTCTTGTTTTTAGTAGGGTCTCATCCACAGAGATGCTGAAAAGTCCCAGCACCCATTGATTTAATTGGGAAATAAAAACATTTATCATCTTGCTAGATTGAATGTTTAATATTTACAAGTGGCGAACCTCACATGGCTGCATCATTCCAAATTTGTGTGATCAGTATTTATATTCTTTTAGGTACATCCAGTTTTACAGACTGCCCCTCCAAAGAAGAAAGGCCAAACAGAAGAAATGCTACTAATATCACCACAAGGTATGTGGGTAGGCTTAAAGCACTAAAATGACTGTGTTGTTTGAAATTTTTCTTTCTTTGTCTTTTCACCTATGCATTTGTTATGTAATCTCAATATTTGTAAAATATTGCAAATTGTTGTAAAGTATTGTAAAGTATTACACACATTTGTAAAGTATTGATGTTGTGCAAGACCTACTGGGGTGACTAAATTATGGAAGCCACAGATCACTTGTAACTGTAGTAGTAGTAGTGATTGGCTTTACTAATCTAAATATTCCTGTTTCCTTTTACTGTTGTAAGTTATACAAGCATGAACTTGATTAGAATTTTAAGTAGGACTGATTACCCATTGATGAAGCTGGTCAAAAGTTTTCCAGATTTTCTAAAGAAAAGAGGTACATTTTCAGGAAAAACTTAATGTGCTATTTCCACCTGTTACAGTGGAAGAAGAATGCTTTCTGACTACGTATGTGGACATGAGGTATTATAATGACTTGCTGAATCAGATTCCTGAAGAGTTCATTTCCATTCCTTTAATGTTGAACTGCATGTTGGAACAAGTGAGTGTACCATCATATGAATATGCGTGTCATTCACACTGAGCATTGTTATGAGAACTGACTGAGGAGATAAATGAGTGAGCCTGAAGACAGCAGTGGTGTACATACCTGTACTGCCTAGGGAAGTTCAGGTGGAAGGGTCTGTGACTTGGATGCTCTTCTGCCTTCTCTTCCTTTGAAGGAAAGATTTAGGTTACTTGATCCTGTTTCAGGGTGTAGTTCATTCTCCCTGGGCATGTCTACATGTGCAGTTAATGCAACTGAATATCCTCTGGCTCAAATTGAGCCAGAGTAAACTAATCCCAATTGTACTATCAACGTGTGTTTAAGTGCAATAACTTACTGCACTGCCCGATGCCACTTGTATATGATGGGACTATCTGGCACTGCAGTAAATTAGTCTACTGTGCTCCTGTTGCTGTGCACAAGTAGAGATGGTGATGCTTTAATGCACAGCAGATTAGTCTGCTGCACAGTAAAGCATCCCATGCAGAGACACCCCCTGTATGACAGGCCACATATTCACTCCTTTGTGTCCCTTCCAACTCACCTTCTTAGTGAGGAGAGTATTAAGGCAAGCAATTCCTGCTTCTTTTTCCCTACCCAATATGTTTGGAGTTGCAATATGAACAGCTTCAGTCAGCCAAGCAAAAATCAAAAAGGGGTGTTATTCTCCCTCCTTACTTCCTTGCATAACAGAGTAAGGGCTAGTGCTTAATTAGCCAACACTAACTCTTGGAGAGTGGTGTTACACTCAGGATTCTTAGCATAGCCATGGAATGTAACAGTGAAATGAAAGTGATCACCATACTACATACTTGTCAGCTTCTCAGAGGACGCATCTACATGCGATGCTGTTCACGCAGGAGCTCGTTTCTACTTCACAGTAGCATCACGTGGCATGGAGTGTGATGTGACACTACTGCACCATAGTAATGAGCTACTGTGCAGTCAGCATCACCTAGAAGCAGGACTCAGGCTGAGAGACCCTTTTCTCTGAGCCTAAGCCCCATGACCACGGAGCTCAGGCTGTGAGATAAGAGTTTCCCAGCCTGAGCCCTGCTCCTTGAAAGTCACTGCTGGCTTGAATGGTGTCCAGGATTCCCTGCCTTAGCTGGTGCTAATCAAGAGACCAGCATCAGTTCAGAATTCTGGCCTAGCCTCATTACAAACACTACCTTTACTAAAAGTGTTTTTCCAGGCTAACTTGCAAATAAGGCATTAAATAAATCCTAACATTTCAAACATTATACATGTTAATGCAAAAAGTTAGTTCCTAAATGCGTAAGTTATTGCTAATAGGTTTCAAAGATCTTCCTAGGTGGGAAAGCATAGATAAATGGGAAATGGGAGATTAGGATCTCCCAGCCGGAGCCCAGAAACCACGGAGCTCAGGGTCTCCCAGCACCAGCCTCACAGTCACAGACCGGGTACTGGTGACTCCCTGCTGGCAGAGGCAGGGAAGCCTGTTCCCTGCCCTTCTCCGTAAGTGCAGAGCTGGGAGGAGGGTGGGGGGCAGAAAAAGCAGGCTAGGGAACTTGTCACCGCCCCCCCAGCTCCACACTCACGGTGTTCAGGGTGAGGGCTGGGAGCTGTCCTGGTCAGGGTCCCAGCCCTGTGCCCTGATCAGGTAATCAAGGCATGGGGTTTGGAAAGAGCTGCAGGGGTGGGGCATGTCCCAGCCCCCGTCCCAATCTACTGGTGGGGCAGCTATCAGTGAGTGAGCTGCTAGGTGCCCCATTGGCAGATCAGGGCAGGAGCTGGGACCTGCCCCTCCCCTGCAGCTCTTTCCAAGTCTCCTACCCCTTCATGGAGCCAGGGCTCGGAGCTCCCTGCTTCTGGGAGACATCTGTCTCCTGGCCCTGTGCTCCCTGCCATCCCCTGGGATAGCACCCAGGAGTTGCCTGGAGGTTCCCCTGGTGGTGATAGGGGCCCATTGAAGGGTTGCAGGAAACTGGGTGCAAATCTGCTCCCTAATCCCCACATATGTAGATACCTGCCCAAAAACACTTACTCTGAATTAGTTTATACCAGACTAAATCTAGGCCAGACTAAACACATGGTTAGACACTCCCAGTTTGTCCAAATCAACATTTTGACCCTGCAGGGCAGAACCCAGGGCTAGAGATATGAAATCCACTCTGCCCTTCTAGACCTCAAACGCCACAGAAGTGTCTGAATCCCCCAACATGATCAGTCATCTACAATAGATAGTTCAGTGGATCCAGGCTCTGACTGAGCAGCTGCAGGGGGGGTGGGGACCTCAAGCCTTGCTAGGCTGCCTGAAGGAGACACAAGGCCCAGGCTGGAGCCTGGTAGGTACTGTGTGAGACCCTTCTGAAAGGGAACAAAGCCTCAGCAGCAAAACATCTCCATTGGCAGGGGCCCCACCTGAACCCAAAGTCCTGCTCCCTGAGTGCTTCAGTGGGGACCCAAATAAGTTTCAGTGGTTCCTATATTAGTGCTACCTGCTGTTTATGCTGTGCTCCCATATCTATCCCACAGACCAGGCCAAGATAGGACTAATCATTATCCTGCTTGCAGGAAGTGCCCTGACGTGGTTATCCTCTCTCCTGGAGGTCACCAGTTCTCTCTTCGAGGACTTAGATGAGTTTTTAGATGCAGTGTCCTGCATGTACCCAGACCCCCTGCAATCCTAATCCACAGAAATAGTCCTCCAAACTCTGCAGCAGGGCAGCTAGCCCATGATCCAGTATGTCATGGACTTTCAGTGATTAGCTGCAGATACCACATGGAATGAGGCATCCCAGGTGCTCCAGTTCCTCCAGGTCCTAAGTCAGGAGCTGAAGGATGAAATTGCTTGGGTTAAGTCCCTTACCCACTTGGGCCCACTGATTGAGCTCTGTGTTTGGACTGACTACTGCCTCATTTAGACAGTGTCTAGAGTAGAGGGCCTCTGAGAAGGACCCCCACACAGAGGTGCTCTCCTGGAGTAAGGGGATCTGATCCAGATGATGGGTCCATACTCTGCCCCTGTACCCACATTGCCCCCTTGGTCTCAAAAGCAGGCTGCATATTGCAGTGGCTCCTTTCTCCATTGCTGCTCACCATGCACCTGTTCCACCTCACAATGTCCACAATACAGTTATCTGCTCTGGTGGGCTTGGCTGCCTCAGACAGTTGTATGGACATCAGTTTCACTAGAGTGAAGCATATTCCAGTAAGATGTAAGCCCCCTCTGTTAATGATCAAGTGGATTGATAACACTCCCCTCATATCAGGTTCCTATCCTTTTAAAATGCCCCACTCTGGGTCTCCGTCCAGAATCATATAAAGACTCTGCACTTTGCCTTGATTTGGTCCACAACTTGCCCCTGATATTGGGAAGTCCCTGGTTGGCCCTCCATAACCCACCAATTCACTGGCAGCAGAAAACTATCCAGTTTGAATCTGACTTTCACCAGAAATCTAATCTGCCACACCCAGCTTTCCCCCACAAAGGGGCGCTGTGCACCCTGGATCTTGAGGCTAGTGGTAGCCCAGGATGTGGTGTCCCTGAAAACAGGGCCTATGCTAACAAAGGCCCCAGCCCAGGAATCAGCCACCACACTGTCCTCCAAGTACTAGTACTTCACCAGTGTTTTTAGCAAGAAGGATGTGGACACCCTGCTGCCATATCAGCCCTATGACTCCTCTATAAATTTACAGCCTGGGGCTATGTTGCCCTTCAGTCATCTGTATCTATTACCTGATTTGGAACAGGGGGGTCCAACTCTGGTAATAGATAAGGGATTAAAGGATTAATTCACCCCTCCACATCCCCAGCAGGGGCACTCATACTGTTCATCAAGAAAAAGGATAGATCCGTACATTTGTGTTTCATAAACAGTTATAGTCAGGAACCATCTTCCCAGATGTTTACTGTAGAAGTTACTGGGGAAATTCCCATGCCAGATCAACCTTTTCTAGCAGATGAGTCTGAAGAGTTGAATTGTATTGAAGTAACAGAGGAAGTTTTGGAACAAATCCATAAACTGAATATTAATATGTCACCAGCACTGGATGGCTTTTACCCAAGAGTTCTGCAGGAACTTAAACGGTGAAATTTCAGGACTGCTAGCAATAATATGTAACGTATCATTACAAAGAGCCTCTGTACCAGAGGACTGGCTGGTTGCCAATATAACATCCATCTTCAGAAAGGGCTCCATAGGCAAATTTGGGAACTGCAGACCCGTGAGTCTTGCTTCCATCCCCAGCAAGTTGAAAGGAACTATCCTTAATAGGATAGTCATTTACTTAGACTTCAGGAAGGCCTTCGATATGGTATCCCACCCCATACAGGTAAACAAGTTAAGAGGCTGTGACTTGAATGATTACACAGTCCAGTGGGTGGGAAATTGGCTAGAGGGTCATACCCAGAGGGTGGTAGTGGATGGGTCGGTATCGACCAAAGGGCATGGGTAGTGGGGTCCTGCAGGGCTTGGTCCTTGGACCGCTACTCTTCAATATCTTCATCAGTGACTTGGGCAAGGGAGTGAAGTGTACTCTGTCCAAGTTTGCGGATGATACAAAACTGTGGGGAGAAGTGGACACACCGGAGGGCAGGGAACAACTACAGGCAGACCTGGACAGGTTAGACAAATGGGCAGAGAACAATAGAATGCGATTTAACAAGGAGAAATGCAAAGTGCTGCACCTAGGGAGGAAAAATGTCCAGCACACCTACTGCATAGGAAATGACCTGCTCGGTAGCACAGAAGTGGGAAGTCCTGGTGGACTCCAAGATGAACATGAGTTGTCAGTGTGACGAAGTCATCAGAAAAGCTAACTGCACTTTATTATGCATCAGCAGATGCATGACAAACAGAACCAAGGAGGCGATACATCCCATCTATCAGGCGCTGGTTAGACTGCAGTTGGAATACAGTGTGCAGGTTTGGGCACCACACTTCAAGAGGGATGTGGATAACTTGGAAAGAGTCCAGAAAAGGGCCACTTGTATGGTTAAGGGCTTGCAGGCTAAGCCCTATGAGGAG